AAGGCTGAATCTCTATAGCAAGTAGGCTTAGAAGGTATCCAACCTGGTGGCCCTGTGATTCTCCTTCACATTTTTGAGGAAGATTTGCAATTAAGATGATGAGGCTGATTTACTATAAGAATGTTTTTAATAAGTTGAGTAAAGATTTACTTAAGTTATCCAAACATGTTTACACTAAACATAATCAAAAAAAGTAAAAAGTGCACTGTAAACTGTATCCTTTGCACCAGCTCCACCAATCCAGTGCTCCTGGCAACCACCACACCAATCGGCTTACCAGATCATTAGACCACAAAACATAAGAGGTCAAATATAACTTTTTACTGTATAGTTTTTTTATTGCACATCAGTACTTATTGCATATATGCACTTAATTGTTTATTAAATTAATTCAACAGCATTGGGGTTGATTTACTAAGTCTAGAGAGTTCAAAATCTAGTGCAGCTGTCCATGGCAGCCAATCAGCTTCTAACTTCAGTTTGTTCAATTAAGCTTTGACAAAAAAAAAACCTGGACATTGGTTGGTTTCTATGCAGAGCTGCGCCAGATTTGGCAGATTTTAGTAAATAATCCCAACTGCTTATGTTTAGTGTAAAATATTGGGCATTCACAGATATCAGTAAGGGCTACTGTTACCTTCATATATTTATTTTTTGATTGGTTTACACTAAGCACAGTTTATTTGTTATTTTGTGTTTTTTTTGGATCCTATTATGTTAACTGCAAATTCATATCTGTACATGATTGGGAATTCAAAGTGAACACAGCTGCAATTTATTGTGTGAAGTAACTTAACTGTTTTATTAAATTAGCCTCATTATACTTACATGTTTTAGTTCATTCTGCAGGATGTCTAGGGTCTTACTAAAACATAGGATGCTCTCTATTTTTTTACTGGCACTGCAAACTACTGTCAGTACCAACAGATTTTTAGAGAGCACAAATGAAGGCCACCTGGATCAGGTACAGTATATTGCAATCTTTTGATACCAGGCCCTAATTTTCCTCTTGAAAAGGGATGAGTTATGAACATTAGTGTGAGGCTAGCCCAATTTGTTAGCAGTTTGAGAAAATGGCAAACTATTGCTTCTGTTCATCACTATAGTGACTGTGACAGTGCTGTGCTTTGTCACTGTGTTAAAAGAATTTGGTGCCACCCAAGGTTTTCGCCATGGTGGTTGAGGGACCCTGGGATGTGTGTCTCATTTAGAGAAAGATGGCCTTTCAGTTTATCCAAGACTGGTAAATTCTGGTATGGGTTCTTGAGCCTGGAGACTTTGTAGAGTACAAACTACAAAGACAAAAAGGGTGCAAAGACCAAGTAGGTTAAAAGTACTAACTCTCCAGCACCTCAAAGGGGTTGATACCAGGGAGAGGCCAAGGAATCAGGTGTGTGAATGACCTATGGATAAAGTCCCGGAGATGCAGCCCTCCTCAGATGGAGAGATCAAAGAACTGGAAAAAAGCACACAGGTGGTGCAAGCACCTAGCGCATTATCCAAGGTTTATTAAAATGTTTAAAAAGACAAAAAACATACTCACAAACTTAGCGGATAGAAAATCCTGTATGGCCACAATGATGGCCAAAATGATGGCAGAGCTCCGAGGAAAGGGACATGTCCCCAAATCGCATTATCAGGCCAACCACACCACCAGTTGGACACTCTGCCATCATTTCAGCCATCATTGTGTGCTTTTTTCTAGTTTTTTGCAAAGACCTAGTGCATTACCTCCAGCACTTTATTAGAGGTTTAAAAATACCAATTATACTTACAAGCCAAATAGGATTAGTAGTGTATCAAAATGACAAAATCTAGAAGTCAGCTCTCTAAAGTCATGGAATAATACGGATGACAGACCAGCTGCCATGTTTTGAGAGACTGGCCTCTTTCCTCAGAGCAATGACTGGTGCACCCTCCACCTCAACCCCCATTCCAACACCACACCCACCACCCACTCGGGGGGGTGGAGGTGAGGGAAAGAGGGGAGCAGGCAGGGGGAAATAGGTAGAAAGGAAGTGCAGCCCACATTTGGTCACCAATAACAAGGATACAGAAATCCAGACAACAGAAATATAAAATGACATGTGAGGGCTAACATCAAAATTTTCATTTTGATATGCTACTAATCCTATTTGGCATGTGAATATAATTTGTGCTTTTTAACCCTTAACCACTTGCCCTCCAGATGATTTACCCCCCTTCCTGACCAGGACATTTTTTGCGATACGGCGCTGCGTTACTTTAACTAACAATTGTGTGGTCATGCAATGCTGCACCCAAATGCAATTTACATCCTTTTTTTCCCCACAAATTTAGCTTTCTTTTGATGGTATTTGATCACCTGTGTATTTTTTTATTTTTTGTGCTATGAACAAAAAAAGACCGACAATTTTAAGAAAAAAACTATATTTTTGACTTTTTGCTATTAAACATATCCAGTAAAAAAAATGTAAAAATCTAATTTTGTCATAAATTTAGGCCAAAATGTATTCTGCTACATGTCTTTGCTAAAAATTTATAGCGTTTACAAAAGGCGGTATATATATTGTAATTTTTTTTTTTTACTAGTAATGGCGGTGATCAGCAACTTACAGCGGGACTGCGGTGGGCATACTGACACTGGGGGGGGGAACTGACTTGCTGTCACTGACATCCCCAGTGACACCAACACAGTGATCAGTGCTAATAAAAAGCACTGACGCTGTACTAATGGCACTGGACAGGAAGGGGTTAACATCTGGGGCGATCAAAGGGTTAAGTGTGTGCTGTGTTTTGTGCTTTACACTGTAAGCACATTGCTTTGTATGGCTCTGCTATGCAGAGGAATCATCGGCCAGGACCTGTTGATTACAGCTGAGGCAATGAATGGCGCATGCGTGCCACCTATCCAGAGCTGCAAAATCATGTATATATATATGTGATTTTGGGCACCTGTGGCACCCTGTAGCAGTATATCTGCTATAGGGTGGCGCGGAAGCCGTTAAATAAAGTGCTTGAGGTATTGTGCCCTTTTTGTCATTGTTGTTCGTTCAGTACTGGATTCCTTGATCTGAGGGGAGCAGCACCACCTTAACCATCCAGCCCGAGTTGTACAGTAGCCATGGTATTTGCATAATTTCTGGCAAGCTTCCCTATGGTATCTGAGCACTAAAGTGTCAAGTTAATATTGTTCCAAGCTAGAGTATTTAGTAGGATTAAAGCAGTTGTAAAGGCTCACAGTTTTTTCACCTTCTATGCACAGCTGTGCCCCCCAGCTCCCTCAATACTTACCTGAGCCTCATCGCATCCAGCGATGTGAATGACAGCCTCAGCTGTCCTGGGTCTCTGCCTCCTCATTGGCTGAGACAGCAAGTGGGAGTCATTGCTGTCAATCACATCTAGCCAGCCAATGAAGAGAGAAAGGGGGTGGGGCCAAGCCACAGCTCTGTGTGTGAATGGGCAAACAGAGCAGTGGGTGCTCCCATAGCAATCTGCTTGCTGTGGGGGCACCCAACAGGAGGGAAGGGTTAGGAGAGCCTGCGGGGGGCCCGAGAAGAGAATGATCCGGGCTGCTCTGTGCAAAACCACTGCACACAGCAGGTAAGTACAGACATGTTTGTTACTTTTATATTTTATTATACAAGCATTTTAGTATAAGGGCTGACTATGGTTCAGGGATCCATCCTTCTAAGGACACTGTTGTACTGCCAGGGGGAAGCAGGTGCCTGGACACAATAGAGACAAGTGTCTGTCTGCACTGACCAGGCCGTCACCTGGAGTTACAGTTGCTGCAGGAGTAGCATGTAAACACTGCATAAGCAAACAAAGGATTTCCCTGCACACTTACCGACCAGCCTACAAAACAAACAAATTGGCCATCTAACAGTTTGAAAAACTGTTAAAAACAGGATTTTTTGCATACATTTGCAAATATATGCGTAAGCCACAGTGCCCGTGCCAAGGGACTTCTGTATATCTGTTGTCCTAACTCTAAATTTCCAGATTCTCCATAGTAGGAGCACATATAAGAATGGATAGATTAGGGGCCGGTATGCCTGGAGGTTGCCAACTACAGGCACAGGGATGCACGTGATGCCCAGCAAGAGCACAGTGGAAATGAAGGCACCCTGCACCTAAATCATCCAACTGTACAAAAAGTGGCAACCACCCCAATCTATAACTGACCACACAGCAAGGTGCATATGGAAGGGCAATGAACAGCATAAACAAACAAACAAAAGATATCCCTGCAAGGTGCTTTATGATCTTCCTAATATGGGATCAGTGCCTCTGGTAAGGAGTTTACCCTACATGTTGGTGGTGTGATTTCCTGGCATCCTCTATTCCTGCTGCACTGAATGCTCTCCGTCTTACACTTTGAAGTGTGTCTTTCTTTTCTTTGGGATTTTCCATCTTGATTTTGGACTGTCCGCCAGGATATTTATCCATTTGTACAGACATTTTGCACATTTGTTTTCTTTATTCATCTTTATTATTTTTGTTTGCAATATAGAATAACATATCTTTATTTATGCATTTTTATTTATTATTGTTTATGTACATTTGTCCATCTGAAAGTGTATATACACTTCTTTATGTTCATTTATATTTTGAGAGTCAAGTACTGGGTTATATTATATACACCTTAACCTCCCTAGCGGTCTAATTATGTCAATATTTCTGTGCTCAAAGCGGTACATTTTTTTTTGCCTGAAAATATGTTGTTTTTTTTTATTGTAGGCCTGTAATTTTTAGGAATAACTCACTGAAATCTGTCCGAACAAGTCTAGTAAACATCTCGGGTATGATAAAATTTGAAACACAAAATCATAAATTATAATATAATAAATAATCATAAAAAAAATAATAATAATATAATAATAATAAATTAAATTCAATAATATAATCAGACCAAAAACACCGAAATTTGCAATATAGCGCCAAGTTTGCACATCACTGAGCTTAATTGCAAAATCGTTTTTAGTGTCTGATGACGAATTTCCCCACGAATCATTATCAATTCTGCAAGTGGTTCTAATTTACTATCGCTGTTCTCTAGCTGGTCTAAAACTGCTTTTGACCTAAAGGGACGCTTTTTGGACGCCATAGACATTTCTCAGTTTCCAGGCAGAAAGAACAGTAAAAATGCAGGCAGGGCACAGGACAAAGCACTAGGAACAAGATGTATGTGAAATGGTTTGATACAGTAATGTTTTACTATGTGATACTATGTGTATTTAGTGAATGTCACTTTTTAACATTGTTAATTTCCCGTCCGGTTCCGTCCCCCGTACATCCCATATATCCCAACTCTCACACGGACCGGCACCCGGAAGACGGATGCCGGCATCGGCCGGAGGAGATGGCAGGGGACACTGCAGGGGGGACATCGCAGGAGCAAAAGACAAAGTAAGTGCAAGAGGGAATCCCTGAGCAACGCTGCAGGGTAATCCCGAGTGTAGCTCGGGGTTACCGCTTTTGGTACTGAAAGTTAACCCTGAGCTACACTCGGGAATACCGCCAGGGGGGTTAAAGTTGAAGTGCTTTTTAGCTTATCATTGTCCATATACTCATTTGTCCAATCTGTATGTATAGACAATCTTCTATGTTTATTTTTATTTTGTAAGCAGAGTATGGCATTACCCATGCTTTAATGTTTGAATGCTTTTTAAACATATGGCACAATTTTATTTGTGTTTATATTTGGTTTCCAATTTTATTTTGATTTAGGTTATTGCATGTATTAAGTTTACACTATTATTATTTCCTTATAAAACAATATGATTATGTTTGATATAGTTATATTGTACAGTATGTACAATTGCACTTTAGGATTTTTAATAGACAGTGATCCCACAATGGAAACCAATCAGATTCCAGTTTTTTTGTCAAAGATTAATTGAATAAGCTGAAGTTAGAAGCTGATAGGCTACCATGGACTTGACACTCTCCAGTTTTAGTAAATCAACCCCATTTCATCTCTTTTTCTACTCACAGATGTTCTGAAGACAATGAGATACAGGAAGGTGTGTCACAGGCTTTTCAACCATGTGATTGAGAGCCTTTCCTACTGTCTCCCATTTGTCATGTGAGTGACAGCATGGTCACAGTGCTGGGGGAACATGACTGAGCAAGTTCCTGACACAAAACTTATTTTTTACCATATATGTGGCAACATGAAGCATGACCCATCTCAATGCTGCCAAAAATATGCATATGGCTGGCAGGAAGTGGTTAATTTAGTGTTTAAATGTAAACTAATCAAGTTGCCCTTAGATATTGATTGCATGCTTTTGTTTTTTTTTTTAACACAGAAAAAAATGTAAGATTCAGCAAACTCTGTAAGCAGTTAAAATGTAACTAAAATGCACTGCATAGCTTTCAGAAAGAAAATAGGTTCTTGTGAATATTGTGCAAGGACAGATACAGTCCAATGTGTGGCAGAATTGTCCAGATCATGCAGAAATTTTCTAACAATGTGGAAAGCCTCTTTACATAGTACCAGCTGCTTCCCACCATTAGGAGGTCTCGTTTTGCGCTCTATCATAGCCCTAAAGAACCAAGTGCTTGCTTGTAGTTGCTAGCTTTTTTCTCCAGCTAGGAAGGATTTCAGCTAAACCATGCATTTTTCAAACTGAGATAAGTCATGCAAATGTGACATTTTGTGCTGCTCACACTTTAACACTTTGTTAACCAAAAAATACTTTATCACCCAAGTGTCATATTGGGTGGTGAATCAAAGGCAGGATCTGGATAGTAATGGTCTCCACTAAAGACCTCACACAAGCAACTACATCTAAATACAGTTCAAAAGGAATCTTTCATCATTTTTCTATGTTCATGCACATATTATCAGCTTGATGTTATAGGTTAGCATTTTTTAGGGTTAATTACTGAAAGAAGCAAGAAAATGTAGTATTAAAAAAAGCATTTTCAAAGCCATATCTATCTTGGACTCAACTGGCTTATTTAACAAAGCTTTCCAAAATGAGGCCACTGTCTGCAAGCTATAATAACAGAGGTCTGCAAAAACATTATTTTCAAGAGCTGTTTTGGTTTTTCCACGTAATCTTTATGTTTTTTGGTGTGCTGAATCTGAAAATGACCTCCATTTTGTCATAGATCATCACGTTTCCTGACAATATAGGTAACTATGTTAAATAAGGCAATACCTCAAAATAAATGGAAATAGATGTATAAAATTAAAGTTTTATTACAATTTTTTCATGAAAATCCTTTTTTGAACTGAAATGAGCTCACCTACACACATTAAACTCGATTCTTCTTCCTCTTGGTACATTTACGCTTGTGAGTAGCATCTGGAATGTCTCTCTGAAGCATCCAACAGTAGTCTGCCATCATTGTAATGCTCCATTTTCCCTGGTATCTCCTTTCCATCTCTTTAATGTCTTGGTGGAATCGTTCACCTTGTTCCTTACTCACAGCTCCCAAATTTTAAGGAAATTAGTCAAGGTGGGACTGGAGGAAATGCACTTTCAAACTGATCAGGCAACCTAAAGCTTGAAATGCTTTCAGCATTCGTCCGACGATCTTTTTTGTAGTGAGGATCTTTGTTATTGCCTAAAAATTTCTATACGACTTCTTTAAATGCAATCCACCCTTCTTTTTGAGGATCCGTCACGGTATTGACAAACTCTTGATCAACTATAAGCCCTCTAATGTCTGGTCCAACAAACACACCTTCCTTCAATTTTGCCTCCGACAGGCCTGGAAACTTGGTGACCAAGTATTTGAAGCATTCTCCATCTCTTGGAAGTGATTTTACGAATTGCTTCATCAATCCCAATTTTATGAGGAGAGGGGGGGTAGAAGAACTTTATGGGAAGGTACCAAAGTTTCTCGGAGGACTTTTTTTTCACCGACTGTTAGCACCCTCAGCTGCTTCTTGGTCCAGTGATTTTGTCAGTCTCGACTGTCCCATAGACACAGAAAACAAGGGTATTTGGTATACCCAGCTTGTTACCCGAGCAGCATGCACAAGACCTTCAAGTCCCCACACACTTGCCAACCATGGTCTTCATATTTAAGTTTACAAAGAACCAATTCCAAGTTCTCGTAGGTTTCCTTCAAGTATACGGAATGACCTACAGGTATGGAAGCGTAAAAACCACCGTAGTGGAGTAAAACTGCTTTGTGATTTCTTTTTGAAGAATCTACAAAAAGATGCCATTGCTCTGCATCATATTGGATTTTAAATTGACCCATCAGACCTTCGACATCGATGCAATAAACCAACTTGTCTTCCTGGGTGAAGTAAGGAACAAACTCCTTTTCACGATGTCTGAGCCATGAAGATGACACTCCTGGCAACAATAAATTCCTGCTTTTCAGCCTTGATCCGTGTAACTCAGCGGCATCTTTGGGAAGATTCAAGTCTCTTACCAAATCATTCATCTCCTCCTGAGAAAACAATTTTGGTCTTGTATCATCTTCAAAGTCAGAACTTGATTCGTCATCTGGTTCAGGTATGACTTGGGTACTGGTATATCTGTGACATGGGGGATGGGACGAATTGCTGAGTGAAGATTGGGGTATGAAATGGAATGCTTCCATTTGGAATTAAACACTTTCACATCGCATTTTATATCTTAAATGCACTTATGTGAATTAATTAATAGTAATTTGGACTTTAAATTTGGTTAAAAAACCCCATAATATAAAAAAAATGTAAAAAACTTGATAAATTTGAAGACAATTTTGCAGTCTTGGAGTTTTTTCAAGATTTTATTTGTTTTCAGCACACCAAAATACATGGAAATTAGATGAAAATAATCAAACAGCTTTTTAGTCGCAGACCTGTGTAATCGAAAGAAACCAACCTGTATCTCTCCATACTGCCTGGAACTACTCTAAATTCTTTCTCCTTCCTTGTGAGAAGATTTTACACCCCAACCCCACTCCTTTCTCATGTAACAATTATATACCCAGTGCCCAAACAAACTCTTGGCATGGTAACATAAGAGAATGAGCCCTTTTTAATGCAAAATGCCTCTATTTACATTCATGCAGTAAGACACAGGAAACCTGAGCCATAGCAGCCTGCAAATAATAATCCTGAAGGCACACATGAAGGGAGAGGAGGTAACCGGCTGCCAACACTTTTCAGACAAGTTAAGCTCCTTTCTCAAAAGGCCTTGTAGATGACAGCTTGCTAGTGTGAATAACTGGACTGGAAGTAGCCCTCTGCACAACCTCTAGGCACTCTAACGATATTCCCTAAATGAGTTCTTCCACATTCACAGGTGAGTGGATTATGTTTTTCAGTCTTTATTAAACCTTTGATACCACTCACACCTTTTTTTGCCCTTTCTGTTCCTATCCCTGTATCAGCTGGATCCTCCCAAGATCTACAATTTTGGAGCTGCAGTCAGTGATTAGTGGCCATCTACTGGATTTTAACCATTCCCATGTAGTGGGAATGCGTATGTTGGGTGCACAATCATATCATTATGCACAAGGATGCACAAGGATTGCCGAACATTATAATGATGCTGGCAACTCCAATGCAAACAATATTTTGAATGTCTCTAGATATTTCATAGATGTCCATTCTGCCAATATGAGTTTTTTTCAAATTTAGTCGCATTGAAAGGATTAAAAAAAAAACACAGAAGGAGGGTATATGCATCACACTTTGTTAGAAACAGAGGTTTGCAAACTAGAATCTCCTCATTGGGTCTCAACCAAGTTGGGACTTTGATCTATTTGTCAGTTAGAACTATAATCATCCCTGTTTCTTTTGTCTGTGTTCTGTGGTGCCCAGTGATGTTTGTACCCATGGTCTATTTTATTTTAACTTCCACGTGTAGAATCTTTGTTTGTTGTTACTGTCTTTTGTTTGTTTGGTAATTCTTGAATTTTATACATATGGGTTCATACTCTCTCACTACAACTGATGACTCTAACACTCTAGGATGTTTTGGTCCTTTGTGTAATTGCTGTTTGTTGGAGACATTTTAATATCAAATATTCAGTATTGAATGTTTTATGTTTTTCCAGTGTGACTTTTATATTTATGGTGAGTATATTAACAGCTCACCAGACTTGTACTCCCCAATCTTTTCTCATACATTTGCATGTGTTTATATTTGCTCATGTATTATGGTACAAACTAATTTGTATATTTTAGGTATATCGTTGCTGTTTTTCTTTCTTCTTCTTTTTTTTTTTAAATAAATTGCTTACAAAATGCTTCATATGGCTGATTTTAATTGGTTTAATTAATTGATCTAGCTTGGAGGGAGGGGGGTTGTATATATGCATGTTTTTTTTCCTGAGAATTTCATGACTATGAGTAAGGCTATAAGTCAAAACGCGTAAGCCTTTGCATTTTCTGTATGCCACCGCAATAATAAGATCATCACATTTA